GCGGCGTAATCACGTGACAGAGCCTCGCGGCAGGGCTGAAACTGCGACGTTGCAAAGGCGACCAAGACTCACCAGTCCATGTTCTTGAGACCAAAGTTTGTCATGTTGAAGATCAGAACGACCTTGTCGTTGGGCGGGATGAGAAGGAGACGCCAGATCTCCATAGTGCTGCTAACAAAGCGCTGCAGCGTAGCACCGGGCTGTCCGACGATGGAGTGCTTCGCCACATTGATCAGAGCGATGGCTGTAGGGCAAGAGTGTGAGCGCTAGGACCATCGCTTCGCACGTGCCGAGACTTTCACTTTCGACTCACGCATCTCGTTGCTCGCAGTTCCAACAGCGTACGTCTTGCCAGATCTGTGCTGTTCAAGATACTTGTCGATCTGTATAGCAGTCGCATGAAAGCCAGAACGTGAACGTGAGCCAGCTTGCGCTTTCTAATCGAGATCTTCTGCAACGTTTCGCTTCACTCACCTTGGCGCCGTTGCCAAGGTCTCCATTCTCAGCGTATTCCTCAATGGCGTTGTCGAGACGCCACTTGAGGCAGCCTGCAAGCATGGCAGTTGCGCGGCTTACGTCCCACTGGATAAAATTGTGCCAATGGTCAACAAATCAGCGAAAGGGATGCAAGGTCGTCATCTCGCAGCCCATAAGAGGCTACTCACTTTTCGGGCACGCAAGAAACGCAGCATGGCAGTGTCTGGGTTGTCGATCTGGGGGGCAAGCGCGGTCAGCGCAAGCTTGACGAAAATATACCCGCAGGTGCGCTCTCTGACGCTCTCTGACGAACCTTGACAAACTTCCAGAAAGTCTCGCGCAAAGCCTCGGAGCCGTACTTGGTGAGGAGCTCGTTCATAGCAGCCTCTTCCTCCTTCTTGGTGGCCTCCTCCTTGGCTGCGTCACCCTTGGGGATACCAGCTTTCTTGGGATCACCAGAAGCTTCGTCCCAGTTGGCGTCCTGAGCTTCGCCGTCGGCAGGCTTGTCGCCCGAAGCAGAGCCCTTGGCAGATGCGCAGGTCTTGAAAAACTGTAGGCAGCAGAACAAAGGTCGTCTGAGTGCGAGTCCGGCGTGCGCTTTGACAAGCAAGCTCAATCACTCACGTTGAGCCACATCTCCTTGAGAGCATCCTCCTGCTCAGTGGTGAGGTTGCCTGTTGTGAAATAGAGTTGCTGTCCGGTCAGTTGGGCTATGAGACACGTGTCGTTCTGCCAGCAAGACACTCTGGGCCATAGAAGGTGGCGAGTACAGGTGACTTGGAGCGCCGCCACTCACCGACGTAGCCCTACCAAAAGTGCAAAAAGGGAGAAACGCTCGTCAGCATGAGATCTGCGTACAGCAGCCGAGGTGGGATTGACACGGGGCGCACTCACCTCGAGGAGTGGCACCTCGGCCATGCCGATCTCAGTTACTTTGCTCATGATTCCAATGATATGACAAGTTGTACGAAAAGGTAAGAGGAAGGGAGAGCGTGCTCAAGATACAAAGAGGTCCGGGCGTCTGAACAAGGGAGCCTGCAAAAAGGTTCAAGACGAGGTGTCGCGTGCAAAGAGCGCGAGCAGACAAGATCAAGAGGTGGTTTGGGGGGTGCGGGAATGAGTGCGTGTGTGGTAGAAGGATGGCAAGCAGGAAATGTGTGTGGTTGCACTTTCTCGAGCGGTTGAGAGGGCAATCCAAAGCGAGCTCAAATTGGTAAATCAAGACGAACCGGGGCACCGAGTTGCAGAAATCAGGCCGTGAAGAGCAGCAAGCCAAGTCAACATTAGCGAGTGCGGGGTAAACGTCATTGAAAGCTGATTCAGACTCCGATTTATCTCAGCCTTCTGTCGCCGCCGTCGCCATGCGCTGCTAAGATGCTATAGCCCTACTACCGGAGGAAGAAGACGAGTGTGTGGTTCCGCAACTCCACTCATGAATGGTGAGAGACTTGCGCAGCACGCTGCATGACCTTGCTGACGTTCGATGCGGGGTGGCCCACTCATGCTTGCAAGGACTATGAGAGTCTGGTGCAGAGATCCTCGATTGAGCTGACGCATGTGCTTTTCAAAAGAGTAGGCTGCAGAAGATGAGCAGATTGACTTGCCAACCGCAATCACAATGACAGCTAAGGGGTCAGGCCGGCGCGAAGCACTTGGACTGTGCATGCAGACTCACGTTGTGCCTTCGTCAAGATGTCAAGTCATTTTCTTCGTCGAGTGGATGCAGCCGTGTGCGTAGGCGCTGCTTCTGTTTCAATCGAGTGGTTGGTCGCATGCTGCATGCGCACATGGATGATCGAGCCGCGCGGCTCATCAGCAGAGCAAGGCAAACACGCGGTGTCTCAGGCGCTTGCTTGCACGCTTCGGCCGGCCATTGCTCATTATTTGCCCCGTGTCGCGCTTTCACAGATGCAAGCTCGCTGATGAACACACCCAAATGCCGACCACTGACATCGCTCAGGCCACTCTTCATTCAGTGATTGGCCCGTCATGCGATCAGGCGATCGACAGACTCAAGGCATGTCAAGTCGCCGCTTCACCGCGAGATCGACAATCTGTTCAGGGATGCGGATTCTCGAGTAAAGCCATTGACGTTTGCCTGGCTGGTCCGGACTTCTCTGAAAAGTCAACCCTACCGATTGCCACCCCTCAGCGCGGCGTTGCCCAAAGAAAGCGAGGCTGGCGGCAAGAGGAACGCGGACATATGACGGGCCATGCCTTCCGCTGCAACTCGCATGAAGCTTTCATGAAAGCGAGGCGAGCGAAGGCAGCAGCAGCGCGAGGCTGCAAGCTAAAAAGAGCTGCCGAAGAGCTAGCCATGCTGCAAAGAAAGGCTTTGCGTCGTTGCGAAGCTAGAGCAGTAAGCGCGACGCCAGCTGATGTGCCTCAAAAGGTGCTGATGCCTCATCGTCGCTGTTGATGGGCCCCCCGCATGTTGTGGAAGTCGGAACACGCAGCCATGAAGACGCGGGCTAAGCAAGCGATTTTTGTGTCACGTGTCTTGATCGGGCAACTCACTCACGTGGATGGAATTGACCTCATTCTGATTCTTGATTAGACTTTGACTTTTTGACTCCAATTAAACTCTTCAATCTTGAATGTCCTTCTGACTCAACGCAAACTTTACTCACCACACGACTCGCGTCTTGTGGCTCTTCTGTACGTGCAGCAGGTTCCATAACGGTGCGTGCTTACTCTGTGGTGCTCTCACAATCATTCGGCATGTCGTGGTACGAATTCAGACCCGACGCAACAAAGCGACACCTGAAATCGAGACTTATGGTCGAGCCCCTCGCTCCTGCCGTCCGTCTTTGACGCGATGAAGGCTCGATCAAGCACCATCCGAACGCTCCGTATCATCGTCTTTCGCACTACCTGGTCTACGCAATCGTGCACTCAAGACAAGTGTTCATACTTGACGCTGCATCTCAAGATGCCAAGTGGGAGCAGAGGAGCTGTCATTCCCGGGCCTTTGACGTTAGATCGTAAGGGTCGTGAAGCGATACCATGCACGGGCCCATCTCATTTTGAAATTAGGAAACAGTGACGGTGATGACGGCAGTCTTGCCATCCACGCCGACGCCCTCGTCACCATGGTTGATGCCGTTGGTGCCTGTGGGCAGCAATCCAGTCACGTACTTGACGGTAGCAGCATAGTGTTTGCCGTCATCCGAGTCAGCGCCCTGAGTTGCCAAGCCGACAATTTCGTCTCTGCCCTTGTTGTAGCCATCCTCGACCACATCATGCTTTTGCGACACGTCCTTCTCAACGGAAGCTGCAAGGAACCAGGCGTTGGTGCCGGCTTGCTGCCAGTAGCGGAAGTGGTTGCCACCGACGAGGGATTCGAAGCACGAACCGCTCGTCGTGTCCTCACCATAGGATTCGCGCACCTCGTCTTGTTGGTCGTGCAGTCCTGGGTAGTCAAGGCCGCGTCAGACGCACAACATGCTAATACCTGTGTGCGATACGCTCTCACCTTGGCCGTCGCCGAGATTGGCTTGCATCTTGGTGCCAGAGTGGATGCCAAAGCACTCGCCTGGCCGCGCAATGTGAATCGCGCGACCATTTAGCCGCCTGGACGATAGATTTGAGCTTCACGTCATGTGGCCAGACTCACGGTTGAAGCCGATCGCGTTGTACCAAGCCTTGAAACCGTCTTCGGAGAGAATCTCGGCAGAGGACTTGCCCGACACGATAACATTAAGGGGTTCCCCACTGGCATTGTCCGGGAAGAGGCCTAGGCTAGAGCCTCCCCCCGATTTGGGGTCCTTGTATCCGTCGGCTCTTTTGTGTAGAGGGGACGCAACGGTCGAGCCAAAAGCGTTCGAGAAAGTGATCGGAGCAGCGCTGGCGCTCGACGCACACAGTGCAAACGCTGCCGCCGTAGCGAATGGTGCAACAGAGACAAAGTGCATTGCCGGCTGAATTGTAAGATGTTCTAAAATTTGAGGGGAACAAGAAGGGGTGTTGTCTCTGATCACAGAGGTCGCGAAAAAGAAAGTGTAGGTCGTGCTATGAGCGCCTGAGAGGGCAGACAAGATCTCGGTCAGGCCTACTTATGTACTTCTTGTGCTGCTACGAGTAGCCCACAACCCTATCCACCGGTCAACGATCAGACGAACGCTTCTCGTGCTCGCAATGCCGCTGGACGCTCAGAACGATGCGAGTTCAAGTGGTTGTTGCGAGTTCAGCATTACCTCGACCTCCTTACCAGCTCATCAGCCCGAGGTGTGGTGTTTGCGACTACGTGCTGAGCGCACGTTGGCTCATCGTGTTTACACACATCAGCAAGAAGAAGGTTCTGACTCTTCGCTGATTGATCAGCTCTTGGTCGCCTTGTGGGGTCGTACCGCCGATGCGCATGGCGCTAGCTCGAGCGTCACAGCGTCAGACAGGGATGAGCCCGCCGAAGCCGGCGGCTTGGCCGATAAGCTCGACGCGCATTGTCTCCTTCAATCCGCAAATGGTTCAGCTTCCCGCCCGCTGATCGGCATTGCTTTGCGCAAGCCAAGATTCGTGTGCCCTGTAGCCAGCAGAAACCTCTCTCAAGCGGAAAGCGAGCAAGCGGGCGAGGATGGCTTTTCGTGTTTCGTTCTAGCGCGATCCGCACGTTCTCAATGCTCTCAGCCAGCAAGCGCAGCAGCACCAGTCCGGGCTAAGCCACCAGTTCACCCGCGCGTCGCGTCAACCGAGTCCGTTGCGTCCAGCCTGCAGCTTGGCGTACCATTCCTCAGCCGGCGCTACTTATTTCTTTAGCGTCCCAAGGCAAGACGGAGTCCCGTCTTGCTCGAGTTGACTCGGCACAATCGAGGGCAACGAGTTGAGTGCGCTTGTTTCAAGGCGTCGCCCCGCCGAGTGCCGCCGTATAGCTGTTGCGCCGACGATCGGCGGGCGAGTGAACTAGGGCAACGCACTACGTCTTCCGAGACCGACACCATAAATTTCGAGTGTTTGCAAAAAGTTAAGGTATACGGCATGCACAGTGTTTTGAGGAAAAAAGAGAGATCTCAAAGAAGGTAAGAATGGAGCAGCAAAGGTGCAACAAGATTGGGGACGAATGCCTGCAGCGCTCCGCATAAGTACTGACAAACGTTCAAAACCGCAAGAGTGAGCGCGGGCATGGAATGAGGCACGGCGAGGGCACCATCAAAGTCGCCCACAAATGGCAGTCGCGTGTAGCGACGGTACACGTAGGGACCTTACTCGTCTGAATCCTCGTCGACCATAGCTGCACGACTGCGACTTCTGAAGCCAGGGAATGCAAAACCTTGTGATGGCAATTTGGCCATCGACGACTGTGCGCGAGGGGGCAAGTCCCTGCGATCATCGGCCGGTGTGCTGACTGCGCGCAAGCGCTCGGCGAATCCGGGCTTTGGAGGCGGCAGAGCAGACATCTCGTCGAAGGTTGCGCGCGAGCTTCTGCTACGCAGAGAGGGAGCCACCCAGGATGCATTGAGGCGGCTGCCGAGACCGCCGCCGCTCGTAGAGGATGGAACGCCAAGGCCGCCAGCGCGACTTTGCCTGCCATCCGCGATCGGGGCACTAGGCGAAGGAGGAATCTGTGACGATTCCCTTTTGTTCTTGCCTCCGAATGAAAATTTGAAGAAACGACTCTTGCGCTTCTCTTTGCCAGGCTTGACCATCGGCTCTGCAAGATCTAGCGCATGATGTTGACGACTTGGTTTCGCGTCATAATCACCCACGGGATTGAAGTCGGGCAAGGGCGGCATCGGCTCGAAGCCCGGAGCTCGAGGCCCAGTGTGAAAGCGGCGCTCCGAGGGGAGAGGTGGAACCTGCTTGAGCGAGTTGGCCAAGGGATGCTCAAGGATTTGTTGCGGGTGTCTCGATCCGCTCTGAATCACGTTGAAGGAAGGCAGCGGCGCGTTTTCCTTCTTCGGAGATTCGCGTCTAGGATTGCGTGGAGGCCTGCTTGGCTGACCCAGCGGTGTCGCAGCGCCGGAGCCTCGACCAGTTTGCATGCTCGAACGGCTCGGAGGGTCTGTTTGAGAGGCCGAGGTGGAGCTCGAAAACACCCCAGCCGAAGCACCTTCGTTGTTGGCATACGTCGAAAAGCCGGACGGATAGCGATCATCAGACAAGCCAGGCTGATTGATGCCCTGACGCGATTTCGGTGCTGGTAGAGCGGGAACATCCTTACGGCTGGTCCTAGAAGAGGCCACGCTGGCTGCCTCTGCAGTATCAACCCCAGGAACATCGTCCATTTCCCCTCGTTGAGAAGCTCCTCCACGAGAAGATGTACGCTTTGGCGGTGCTCTACGTACGATTGGGAAAGGCAAATGTCAGCACACATGTGCGGCACAATGGGACTGACAGGGTCACATCCACGACGAGACTCACGCTTGACTCGCGATGGAAGCAGTAGCAGGCGATAGTGGGACGCGGGGCGCATTCAAAGATCCTCGAGTGTCCCTACGCGTATCGCGTCCAGCATTGTTGAGGTACGAAGTGGAAGAGGCACTCCGCAGCGATTTGGGATCAGTCTTCGCTGACGCTGCAGACGCCTCCACATGTGAAGCTGGGACTGGCTTTCCGGTCCGCGACTCGAGACGGGGTGGTGGTAAAGGTCCGCTTCCAAAAGGCCCCGTGTCCGCCGTCATCGGACCAATGCCCATATCGAAGCTAGTCTGACTGGCCATGCCCGGCGGATTCTGGTACATAGCCGAAGCGGCCGACAAATTCTTGTCGCCGCCAGACGGACGGCCTGACGGCACCAAAGAAGAGGTCGAGCGCCTACCTCGATTCGAGAGGCGCGATGTCGACGGTGTCTGGTCAATGGCCGCATCAGCACCGAGGGACACGCGCTGAGCCCTTGGGCTGCCGGACCGATCAGAGCTCGTCTCAAGTCCATTACTGGACGACCGATTCTTGTCTGTACCCGCAATTTTGGAGAAGAACCCGCGAAGACCGCCCTTCTTGCTTTTCCTCTTGGAAGGCCCATCACGGGACATTGCTTCGTTCGGCACTTGATCGCGAGACTCGTCTGCCTCATTGGGATCCTGGTAGGTCGAATTGATCGTAGCATCGGCCTGATGCGACACTTCCTGATCAGCATGCTCCTGCCCAAACGCCGTCATCGCGCTTCGGGGCTGCTCTCCATCGCCGGGATAACCGTAGTATGCGCGGTTGAGCACGCCTGGACTCTGCGGTCCAAGGGGCGTCCCGGGCATGAATCCTGCCTGGTTGATACGGTGCTCGGCATGATCTTCCAAGCCAACGTGCATGTCCACCATGGAGCCGCTGGGAGCAAGCGAGAGCTGTGACCGTCCGCCACTTCCATGAACAAAGGGTCGATTTGGCGGAGCAAGACTGACTGGTGAAGATGGAGCAGTTGCTTGCATCGCTCCGCTGAGGGACCGCAAATCGTTGATGCTGCCTACGCGGGTCGGCGACGATGCCGCAGCGGAGCGACGCGGAATGCTTTGATGACCAGCACTGAGATCGTCCAAGAGCTGACCTGAGGCGCGCTTACGCTCTTCGTCCAGGGACCGCTGCTGAGCATGAGATATGCCTCGTTGAGCATGGGTAGCGCGAGCCCCAGGGGCAGGAGACGAAGAACGCGCTGCGTCTGGCGCGCTGGCCGCTAGCTTGCGGCGAGCGTCTCGCGCATTGGCAATATCGCGCTCCTTGGCCTCGCGGTCTGCAGGTGCGAGCACTTCGTCTTCGAGGACAAAGCTGCTGTCCTTGAGGTGGCTGCCAGGTGGACGTTGCGCACTGCGACTATTCTTGGAAGACAGTCTCGAAACAAGAGCATCCCCAGTATTCGTGCCAGAGTTGGTGCGAATCATCCTGTTATCATAGTCATTGGCAGTGATGGGACCAGGCGCTGCTGGCGCAGCGTTAGGCCGGCTCGGCAACTCGCGATCGAGACCAGCTTGTTGTCGGGCGCGCTGTTCTGCGGCAATGTACTTCGCTTGAATAGCCAAGAATGTCTGCAAAGTCCGCCATCGATGTGAGGATGCAGGGGGGTTCTGTTGGGAAGTTGTGACTGATGCATTAGAATGCGGCGTGGGTCTGGCGTCCATCGTGGAGTCACTCACCATTTGCGTGTGCAGCTTCAGCCTTTCGGCTGTAAGAGGATCACCTTTAGCCACGCGCTTCACCCGAACCCGCACGCCCGCAGGTCGCTGTGACGTGTGACTCAAGTCTTTTGATGGCGGCAGCGAGCCAGTAGCTGGAGCGCTGTGATCACTGCCATGCGCAGAAGGTAGCAAGGACCCCTGCCCATTGCCCACGCTTTCGACGGTGCCGCCATGAGTGCCTTGGCTCGCAGCATTTCTTCTAGCTTCTCTCTTGTCGTCTTCTTCCGCCTCTGCACGACATGCGTCCTCAAAGTCGCGATCGCTTTCACGCTCCCACAGGCCGGGCCCGAGCACATGCACGTCGATCATGTCTTCGTCCCTCATCATGCACTCTAGACACACTTCTGGGTCGTTCGGGCTCCGACGCACTCCATCAGGCCCAATGAGACCTGAGAGCAAGCCGTCTGGCCTTTGTTGGAGCTCAAAGGGTGGCACGAGAGATCGCTGCGGAGTCACGCCCGAATACAGACGTCCTCCATTTGAGGCCGCTGCGGAAGGCGACGGGAAGGTCGGATAGGGACCGCTCGCTCCGCCCACTGCGTCTCCCGTGGTGCCCATTGCTAGGTTGATGGTGCCAACGCTACGACGCTGGTCGCGGGCCTGTTGTCGTTGCAGCTGCTGGGTGCTCAGAACGCCGCCAGAGGAGCCAGAGCGAGAGCGAGTGGTCGTCTTTGCGCCCGCGGTATTTGGCAGTCCGTCTACCTGCGCATTCGCAGCTCCCAGCGGGTCATTGAGTTCGGCCAGAGGAGAGTCCATGGGAGTAGGGCCTCCTGATGCAACCGGCGAGTACGTCGCGATAGGTGTCGCGGGGGCATCCATGTACTGCAATGGTTTGAGCGAGCCTCGAAAAGTCGGCTTGCGTGGCGTCTTCTCTTTGGAAGCACCAGCAGTCAGTCGCTTTGCTCTGGCACGCTCCCATTCGGCCCGAGCCTCCACTTCACCCTCTGGAGGCGGACTGTCCTCTCGAGGCGGAGTCTCAATGGAAGGTGAGGTCGAGCGATCGACCGGGTCGGCGGAGCTCGCTGGCAATCCAGCGTCTGCAAAGGCGGCGCGAGGCAGAGCATTGCCGGCAGACTGCTTGCGGGCCAGGGGCTGTGCAATCAGATCAGCTGGAGACTGACGACCTTGACTTCGAGGCGGTGCGCCCTGAGAGGCCATCACAAATTGCTCGTCGGTAGGCAAAGACTGTCGAGAAGCCACGGGCGACTGACTAGCCCCGGATAACAGTCCCGCTGAGCCCGCGCTAGGTGGCCTTGCCCCAACGCCTGCAAGGTTGGTGGTGATGTTGGCCAGCGGCCGAGCTCGAAAGTCAGTGACTGGCTCAGGAGCTGATTCGGACACCGGAGGCATAGCGGATGCCTGCGTTGGTGCCGCAACGTCTCTAGGAAGTGGCGGCGGAATCACATCGTCTGCCAGGCCTCTCGCCTGGGGCGACGTATGAGGGGCAGCTGCTGTCACAGGCGTGGATGGCAACGAGTGTTTGGCTAGCAGAGGCGCAGTGCGTTCCTTGCTAGGCAAGGCGGGTGGCAACTCTGGTCTGGACGAAGCGCTTCCGCGAGGTGTCTGAGCGGGCGAGAGGGGTAGTTCCGACTCTCTGGCAGCCGCTACCGGAGTGGGCGCATCTCTTTCCTGCTGCGCTCTGGCATTCGAGTCAGGCGCGACGGTGCCCATCTCTTGCGCTACATCCATCGAAGGCCGTGTGGCAGCTTCTTGTGCCGAGAAAGATGCGTTTCGCGAAGGCTGCGGAGGCGCTTTGGCATCGCTGCCGTCTTTCTGTAGCTGCCTGCTCGCGGACCTCGAGTGCGCGGGCGTTACCGTCACCTCTCGCGTGATGCCCTGCGCACCGCCCGGCACCTGTATGACGGTATCATCCGCGTCTGGATTATATGCGTCGAGCTTCAGATCGTACGCCTGAGGCTCGGATTGGAGCGTCAAAGCAGCGGATGAATCTTGTCGGGGCTCAAGCGGAAGCTCCTTGTTGCTCGATGAGATGCTCATCGGTCGTTCACGTGGCGAAGAAAATACTGAGGGAGGTTTAGGAGGTAGAGCTGGAGCAATGTCCCATCCGTTGCCTCCAGCGTTCCAACCGCCGGGCAGAGCTCCCGGCAATCGGTCTTCCGGGCTTGCGGATCTTGAGCGAGAGGTGCCAAAGGGGGGTGAGACCCACGGCTGTGGTGGTGCCATGGTATCCAAAGCAGCGATGTCCATAGGATTGCCAACTTCTGACAAGGAATTGGGCGTGTGCATTCCAGAGCCAGCGAAACTTCCAGAAAGGGCCGTCTGAAATGAAAGCACACTAGCCCTCTTTGCACTGTTACCCGCTCCATATCCATTTTGACCAAACCCAGCGGATTTGCGTCCAAAGTCGTCGTCCCCACTTCCTGCTGTGCTTGGTCTACTGTTGTCATTCTTAGCCGAGCCACGGAACGGCGGCTCCGACGAGCTGAGCTGCTCAACTTCCTCGATAGCGCCTGGTGTCGCATACAAATCCGCAGACGACGAGGGATACATTGGACCTCTCGCCCATTCTGGAGGGTTGTGCCACAGATGTTGAGGAAATTGCTGCTGTGAAAGTCGTGCATGCAGTTGCTGATGCTGAGGAGATATTTGAGCCCTCGTCAGAGGGCCCGACATTACTTTTGAGCTTGGTCTTTGCATGGAGCTGGCCAGAGGAGTCTGAGGCGATGCCCTGTTGTAAGCGGCCGAGGTTTGTCTAGGCGTGCCTTGCAACGAGAATCTTGGCGAGATGCTCCCACCGGGTGAGCCAGCGGTCGGAGTGTGCGAAGAGTCTCCACTGGTAACTCGAGCATGGGCTGCCACACGTCCCGGGCTGTATGCCTGACCAAGCGCATTGTATGAATCTGGAGAATCGAGCAGCACTGCATCAGACGTGTACGATCATGTACAGTGAGAAAGAGGAAGAGAGTCCAACGACTGGTCTTCTTTTCTGAGATGAGAACCAATTGCTCTGGACCCAGCCTTCCCAGGAGCGGGCACCACACCCCTCTCAAGCAGTGGTGCGCATCCAAGCACCCACACTCACCTCGCTTGGCTGCTCCAGTCTCAAAACCTCCGCGATTCCCGTAGCTCTCTTGACGCACGTGATTCATAGCGTTCCTCTGCTGGACCTGGAAGGCAATATCATTGTTTGTGCCAGCAGATGGAGAGGGGCTAGTAGCGCTGTCAAGGTCAAAGTCGCCACCAAAGTTGATCGACTTAGCCCAGGTAGGTGCGCGGCTTAGCTGAGCGCCTGCTTCTGGACCTGACGGACCTGGCGAAGACATTTGTTGGTACGCTTGGTCTTGCTGACGAGTCGGTGCATTTGAGGCGGATCCATCGGAAGTGCCATATCCGTTGGCTCCGTTCTGGTCGGGGTAAGGACTCGAACTTGCGCCTGAGCCGAGATGGGGCTGCTGGTAGACCCAACTTCGGTCTGACGTGTGCGCCATGCTTTTGCGTGCGAAACATCCGTCTCTGGATGCAAGCGACGGTGGGGGGGCGTCGCAATGCCTCGGCGGTGGAGACAATTGACCAGGATACTGATAAATATCTTTGGAAGGCTAAGGGCTCATCCAGAGAAGAAGCGCATGCATGAGTTGAGACTCGAGGTCGGGGAAGTCTTGCAGAGGCGCTGGCGCTCGGTATGAATAGCCGTGACAGGGTCGAGCCGCGAGGGCTTGGCCGAAGGATTCTGACGAGACGAGATCAGAGCGGAGCAGGGAGCTGCTGCGTGGCTGTCGTTGGGATGCTGTCTGTGAGGTGATCGAATAATGTAAGAGAGCCGATGCAAGTGGTTCCAGCACGTCGTGATGCCACCGAAGCTTTGATGATCGTGGACGAGACCAAGTCGGGCGCGCGGTCGCCGCCGATCCGGGCCAGCAATTGCGGTGATGACGCCCAGCGAGAAAGTGCGCGACTGGGGCGGCGATAGCTTTGATGTCGGCGCGACTCTGATGGAGCCGCTGTGTGCCTGATCCAGCTTTGATCAGCCTCAAACGATCCACAGAGCCCGCTTGGATCGCGCCCTTTGGATGTGCTGAATCGTTATTCGTATGATGATGTTGTGGGTCAACGCAAGAATGAATGTGAACGGAGGTCCGAGACTCGTGACTGACTACCTGTTCGAGGTGGAAAGCTTGCTGCTGCTGGCTGAACGCACCACCCACGTCTGCTGCATCAGCTGCAATTCCTCGCATTTACCCAAGACGGCTAGGTTAGGCGAGCGGCGTGTGGAACGCGGCCGGGCACCTCGCATCGTATGGAAATTGGCTGGATGGTCCGCTCGCTATACAGTAGTAGTACTACTCTTGACCGCACATGAGGGCCATGCAGCGCCGCTGCATGGACGGCCGCCGTGTCCCCGCGACGCGAGCCAGCAAGCTGAACACTGAGACTCACGATTCGTGGTTCAAATTAGCTCCTGCTGGCTGGCTCTTGAGCACAGCTAGCAGCAAGCGCGGTTTAGCAGTCGTGAGTGCAGCAGATGCGCATCATGTGTGCTGTGCGGTATACGTGTGCGTGCAAGGTGAGCGAGACTCAGCTCGCACGGCGGCTGCAGAAGCAGCATGCGCAGGGGCAGATTCGTAATTCGTGATTCCGTGATTATAGATGGCCGGCCGGCCAGCAGCAGAAGAGGAGGCACGATCGACTCACGAGTCTGAGCGCCGCGAGCAGCAGGCCCTGCCGACTCACAACTCATTCATCAGTCACAGTCACAGTCACATGGTACGGTGTGATGAGTGACTCACACTGACTGCGCGACTATAAGAGCCTACATGACCGACCGAGCGAGCGCACGGCTTCACCTCACCTCACCTCACCACTTGTGTGACTGACTGCTGTGTCTGCAGCATTTGCATTCACATTCACATCGGACTCCGCCGCATCTCTCGAGCCAAATCCCGCCGCTACATGTCATCCTCGCTCTTTGGGGCGATCCACACGTCCGCTTCTCAATCTGCCCCTTGCGCGCGCATGCTTGTTAACCGCTCGCGGAGATCATCGTCACTCGTGCGGTCATGAATCAGCTCCATCGTTTGCCATACTGTGCAGGGTCAGGAAGCGAGGAAGCAGCAGCAATTACGAGTGTCGAGTGTCGAGGAGGAGGCATGCACATGCAC